GCCTTCTCCTTCCAATGATTTGGAAGCAGACAGTATATAGATGTATATAAGATATTTGAAACACCAAACTTTCTGCTACTACAGTTTCTGCCAGAATGATTTCATCATACAGTAAGATTTACTACCTAATGAAATTAATCTGGTAGTATCCATGGTAGCATAAAGGTTGATGTTTAAAATATTTTGTATAGTAAATTGCCCTACATTTTTGTATTTTGAAAATTATATTGAGCACTCTGTGAATTTAGACATTCTTTTTGACAAATGTCACTTTAGACAGAGATTGACTTTATAAAGCATATCTATCTATCTATCTATCTATCTATCTAGAGGAGTTAAATAACTGAGTGAGATACAGATAAATAATTGTCCAAACAGATAACTGAAATCTTTTATAAGATCAGCGTCCCGTTTAAATATGATCACGTCTTTCAGTTATCTGTTAGAATTGGTATTGCTTTTATGTCCATCGTCTTTTTCATGTTGAATTGTATATGGTCTATGTTAATTATGTTTTATGAATATGTCCTGAAGATGGTCTATTCAACCGAAACGTCCAGTGTTGACATTAAACACTAAAACAGCATAATCGCATATTAGGATTTTTGTTTGTTTTTTTTCAGTATATTTTTCTTCATATATATATATATATGTATATATTCAACAATTATTTTAAGACATTTTTATGTTTATACATTCTTTTTCAGGTTTGTTATTTTCTATTTATTATAAACAGAGCATTTACTTAAATATTTGTATCTATAAAAAGAATGTATAAACATAAAAATGTCTTGTATATATATATATATATATATATATATATATATAGATAGATATATATATATATTTATATATATAGAATGCATTGTTGAATGGTTAGAATATTTGCTTTCCTGTCATGAGATTCGGGTTAAAGTTCACCACGGTCAATTTGTCAGGGAGGTGCATTTATAAAAAAAAAACTCAGCTGTGATTCTCAGATGCAATGTTCATAAATGTATAAATATATGTCTGAAGAGACATAATGTCAGTTTTCTCAATAATAAGTCCTTTGAAATGGCAGCACACAAAGTTACACGACCAAACAGTTAAAATAGTACATTTCAGTCTTTTTGTTTTTGTTTTTTTTCTCCAGTTTTAAACTTTATTCACTTCTAAACTTTTAAAGATAAGAATTGCTAGTTTACAAATGGCAGCAAACAAAAAAAAAATATTTAAGTTATTGTATTTTACTTATAAAATATCAGACTTGACATTTTTCTGTTATTTTTTTTTTTTCAAACTTCATATCCAATGCTTTCTGAATATATCAAATGTCAAATTAAGATAAGAGTTCATCCTTGGTTATCTCCTTGTTTTTAATGAAAACATTTATAATAAATGAAACTCATTTTTAGTATGGATTTTTAAAGGTTTATTTATCTACAGAAGCAATCTCAATTTAACACAATATTTTATTATAAATGTACTGTGGAATCATCTAAAGTGTCTCCAATATATATAGATATTGGCAATGTTTCTATTTCTCTGGGGTGAATTCTTATGGTGTATTACATACAATCTATCTATCTATCTCTTTTTCTCTTTTCTATTAAATGTAATTATCATATCTATCTATCACTCTCTTTTTCTCTAAATGTATTACATACAATGTATCTATCTCTCACTCTGTTTCTCTAAATGTATTACATACAATCTATCTATCTCTCACTCTCTTTCTCTAAATGTAATTTATCTATCACTATCTATCTCTCACTCTCTTTTCTCTAAATGAATTACATAACAATCCATCTATCTATCTCTCTTTTTCTAAATGTATTACATACAATCTATCTATCTATAGGAATGCATTGCATTGTATCACACTCTCTTTTTAAATGTATTACATACAATATATATTTTCTAAATGTATTACATACAATCTATCTATCTCTTTTTTCAAAATGTATTACATACAATCTATCTATCTCTTTCTCTAAATGTATTACATACAATCTATCTATCTAGCTTTTTCTAAATGTATTACATACAATCTATCTATCACTCTTTTCTCTAAATGTATTACATACAATCTATCACTAGCTTTTTTCTAAATGTATTACATACAATCTATCTATCTCTCACTCTCTTTCTCTAAATGTATTACATACAATCAGGGTATTACATACAATCTATCTCTCAAAATGTGCATACAATCTATCTATCACTCTTTTTTTTTCTAAATGTATTACATACAATCTATCTCTCTCACTCTTTTTCTAAATGTATTACATACAATCTATCTATCTCTCTCTTCATTTTTCTCTAAATGTATTACATACAATCTATCTAAATATATGTAATCTCTCACTCTTCTTTCTCTAAATGTATTACATAATGTCACTCTTTTTCTGTATTACATATAATAAGTCCTTTCTCTAAATGTATTACAGCAATCTATCTAAAAATGTATTACATACAATCCATCTAACAAATGTATTACAATCTATCACTCTCTTTTTAAAATGTATTACATTTCTATCACTCTCTTTTTCTAAATGTATTACATTTTTGTTTTTTCACTTTCTTTTCTAAATGTTTACAATAAACTTTAAATTCTATCTATCTCTCAAATGTATTACATTCTATCTATCTATCTCTTTTTCTCTAAATGTATTACATACAATCTATTTATCACTCTCTTTTTTCTAAATGTATTACATAAAAAAAAAAAATCTATCTATCTCACTAAGTACAATCTATCTATCTATCTCTCACTCTTTCTTCTGAATGTATTACATACTTCTATCTATCTCTCCTCTCTTTTCTCTAAATGTATCATACTCTATCTATCATTTTTTTCTGTTATTTTTTTTTCAAATGTATTACATTCAATCTATCAATGTATTACATACTTTCTATCACTCTCTTTTTCTAAATGTAATATCTATCTAAAAATGTATTACATACAATCTATCTATCACTCTCTTTTTCTAAATGTATTACATACAATCTATCTATCTCTCACTCTCTTTCTCTAAATGTATTACATACAATCTATCTATCTATCACTCTCTTTCTCTAAATGTATTACATACAATCTATCTATCTCTCACTCTCTTTCTCTAAATGTATTACATACTATCTATCTATCTCTCACTTGTTTCTCTGAATGTAAAACAATCTTTCTATCTCTCATCTTTCTCTAAATGAAACTCATTTTTTGTATTACATACAATCTATGGATTACATTTTCTATCACTCTCTTTTTCTAAATGTATTACATACAATCTATCTATCTCTCACTCTCTTTCTCTAAATGTATTACATACAATCTATCTATCACTCTCTTTTTCTAAATGTATTACATACAATCTATCTATCTCTCACTCTCTTTCTTTGTAACACAATCTATCTATCTATCACTCACTTCTAAATGTATTATAAATGTATCTGTGGTATTATCATCTAAATGTATTACATACAATCTATCTATCTGTTGTGTATGATACACCTAATTTTACATAAGCGGAATACCGAATATAAATATGGGTTGGTACCGAAGATAGTAGAGATTAAGAAATTGAATCCAGAGACTTGCCCGACCAAGATATTTAGTCAACCCATTATGCAGTCTTCCCAAGAATATACCAAACTAACTGTAAATATTGTGTACCTATTCTTTGTTTTAATACATTTTGTTAACGTACATTTTGTGTTGTATTATTCTTATGGCTTCAACACTATATAAATGTATTACATACAATCTATCTATCTCTCATAAATGTAATACAATATCTATCTATCTCTCTAAATGTATTACATACAATCTATTTTATCTCTCTCTAAATGTATTACATACAATCTATCTATCTATCTCTCTTTTTTCTCTAAATGTATTACATACACCCATCTATCTATCTCTCACAAATGTATTACATACAATCTATCTATCACTCTCTCACTCTGTTTCTCTAAAATGTATTACATACAATTATCTATCTATCTCTCCTCTCTTTCTCTAAATGTATTACATACAATCTATCTATTCATCTCACTTTTTCTAAATGTATTACATACAATCTATCTATCTCTCATCTATCTAATCTCTATCTATCTTTCTCTTTTCTCTAAATGTATTACATACAATCTATCTATCACCACACTCTAAATCTCTATCTATCTCTCACTCTTTTCTCTAAATGTATTACATACAATCTATCTATCTCTCATACAATCTATCTTTTTTTCTCTAAATCACTCTCTTTTCTAAATGTATTACATACAATCTATCTATCAATTTCTAAATCTATTACATACAATCTATCTCTCTTTTTTCTAAATGTATTACATACAATCTTTCTCTAAATGTATTACATACAATCTATCTATCTATCTCTCACTCTCTTTCTCTAAATGTATTACATACAATCTATCTATCACTCTCTTTTTCTAAATGTATTACATACAATCTATCTCTCACTCTCTTTTTCTAAATGTATTACATACAATCTATCTATCTCTCACTCTCTTTCTCTAAATGTATTACATACAATCTATCTATCTCTCATCTCTCAATCTATCTATCTTTCTAAATGTATTACATACAATCTATCTATCCTCTCTTTTTCTAAATGTATTACATACAATCTATCACTCTTTTTCTAAATGTATTACATACAATCTATCACATACAATCTATCAATCTCTATCTATCTCTCTCTCTAAATGTATTACATACAATCTATCTATCTATCTCTCCTCTCTTTCTCTAAATGTATTACATACAATCTATCTATCACATACTCTCATCTATGTATTACAATCTCTATCTCTCTTTCTCTAAATGTATTACATACAATCTATCTATCTATCACTCACTTTTTTCTAAATGTATTACATACAATCTATCTATCTCTCACTTCTTTTCTAAATGTATTACATACATCTATCTATCTCTCATCTTTCTCTAAATGTATTACATAATCTATCTATCACTCTCTTTTTCTTGTTTACAATAAATGTATTACATACAATCTATCTATCTATCACTCTATCTAAATGTATTACATACAATCTATCTATCACTTTTTTTTCTAAATGTATTACATACAATCTATCTATCTCTCACTCTTTCTCTGAATGTATTACATACAATCTATCTATCTATCTCTCACTCTTTTCTAAATGTATTACATACAATCTATCTATCTCTCCTAAATGTATTACATACAATCTTTCTCTGTATTACAATCTATCTATCACTCTCTTTTTCTCTAAATGTATTACATACAATCTATCTATCTATCTCTCACTCTCTTTCTCTAAATGTATTACATACAATCTATCTATCTATCTCTCACTCTCTTTCTCTAAATGTATTACATACAATCTATCTATCACTCTCTTTTTCTAAATGTATTACATACAATCTATCTATCTCTCACTCTCTTTCTCTAAATGTATTACATACAATCTATCTATCACTCTCTTTTTCTAAATGTATTACATACAATCTATCTATCACTCTCTTTTCTAAAATGTATTACATATCTCTCCTCTCAATCTATCTATCTCTCTATCTATCTATCTTTCTCTAAATGTATTACATACATTATCATACAATGTATCTATCTCTCTAAATGTATTACATACAATCTCTATCTTTCTTTCTAAATGTTACATACAATCTATTCATCTAATCTAAATCTATCATCTATCTCTTTTTTCTCTAAATGTATTACATACAATCTATCTATCTCTTTTTTCTAAATGTATTACACAAATCTATCTCTCACTTCTTTCTAAATGTATTACATACAATCTATCTATCTATCTCTCTTTCTTTCTAAATGTATTACATACAATCTATCAATCTTTTTCTAAATCTATCTCTCTATCTTTCTTTTCTCTAAATGTATTACATACAATCTATCTATCTCTCACTCTCTTTCTCTAAATGTATTACATACAATCTCTATCTTTTTTTCTAAATGTATTACATACAATCTATCTATCACTCTTTTTCTAAAATGTATTACATACTATCTCACTCTCTTTCTTGTATTACTAAATCTATCTATCACTAAATGTATTACATACAATCTATCTATCTCTCACTAAATGTACATACTCTTTCTCTAAATGTATTACATACAATCTATACAATCTATCTATCTATCACTCTTTTTTTCTAAAATGTATTACATACAATCTATCTATCTATCTAAATGTTTTCTAAATGTAATCTATCTATCTCTCACTCTCTTTTTCTAAATGTATTACATACAATCTATCTATCACTCTCTTTCTCTAAATGTATTACATACAATCTATCTATCTCTCACTCTCTTTCTCTAAATGTATTACATACAATCTATCTATCTATCTCTCTTTTCTAAATGTATTACATACAATCTATCTATCTCTTTTTTTCTAAATGTTTTACATACAATATCTATCTATCATCTCTAAATGTATTACATCTAAATCTCTCTATCTCTCACTCTCTCTAAATGTATTACATACAATCTAAAATGTATTACATACAATCTATCTACTCTCTTTCTCTAAATGTATTACATACAATCTATCTATCTCTCAGTCTTTTCTCTAAATGTATTACATGAATCCAATCTATCTCTCTCTGTCAGTGAAAATAGTGAAAGAGAAAAGAAATCAAATGAGATAGAGAGAAAAAGACATGAAATACAAAGAGAAATAAATAGTGAAAGAAAGAAAGACTTAGAATGCAATGGATAGACAGTGAGAGACAGATAGAAAGTAGTAGATAAAAAGAGAAGGCAAGTAGAGGGTGATAGATATAAAGAGATAGAAAGTAATAGATAGGGATAGATAGTAAGTAATAGATAAATATATAGAGAGAGAGATAGAAAGTAATAGATAAATAGAGAGAGATAGAAAGTAATAGATGAAAAAAATAAATAAATGAAGTAATAGATAAACAGAGATAGAAAGGAAGTCATAGATAAATAAAGAGAGATAGATAGTAATACATGAAAAGAGAGCAATAGAAAGTAATAGATAAATAGAGAAAGAAAGGATTAATAAAAGGTGAGAGATAGAAAGTAAAAGATAAAAAGAGAGAGATAGAAAGTAATATATAAATAGAGATTCATAGAGACATGTAGAACATTTTTGTTAGTATATTCTTATTGAAATTTAACTCATAGATACTGAAATTTCTGTTCAAATTCAGTATTCAAACTGATAATCTTCTTTCTCTGGACATAAATGGAAGAACATGGACTTTGTGCCTTCAAAGGGAAACCTGAATTCATAGAGAAGAAACAAAGTTATTCCAATTCTTTCCAAGATGCCTCAGGCTTGGCCACATTCATCTCCTTTATCAGGCAGCTCTTCTTCTTTACTCTTAAAAGTGCCTAAGGGTGCCTTTGCAGAAGGATTCTGCGATCCAAACACAGCCTTTTTGATTTGATTTTCAACAGAAAGGCTTTTATACAATTCATGTAGGTTGTTGTGACTCCAAACACTATTATTTCTCAAAAACTGCACTTTCCATGAACGTCACATGCATCCTCATAAAACACAGTCTAAAGAATAATTCAAAGAATAATTCAAAGAATAATTCAAAGAATAATTCAAAGAGTTTTCATTTCCGATTAGACTAGGAGTTCTTGCATCGTAATTTTGTTGCCTTTTATCCCATAAAGAAATACCTAAACTATCAGCTGCATACAACCACTTTCTAAGATCAATGGTTTAAAATGAGCGATTGAAGCCTATGTTTCTTGGCCAAGACCATCCTTCTCCATCCAAACATTGTGAGCTAGCATTACCAAATCCCAAACAAAGAATAATACAAAATAACAGAAACCACATCATTTCAAGGCGATCAACAACAGCAACTAAAATGGACAGCACATGTAACTTGAAGAGAATATAATGACATAATGACATAATCAAGATGTTGACACTCCACACTAATTCAAACAAAAGGCAAGGAAGGAAACCCTCATTACTACTAGAAAGAGCAATAACAGTTACTGGATTTGAAAAACCTATTTTCGTGAAAAACACTTTTGATAGAAAGATTTTAAAAATTTTAACCAATAGTAGTACTGGCTGCTCAGTCAATGCATGCTGAATGTTTCCTTATAAGGAAATGGCTAACATTACCATTACTATTAAATTGCTAATTTACACAGTTACACTAACATTTTATAGCACATTGAAGAAGAAGTAGAATCATCATACATGTGCTTGGTAAACATTCACATACAAAGATCTGCGGATAAGTTCATAGACTGACTGAGAAGCTATAAAGAAAATTAAAAGATAAATTAGCTTTGGTCTTTGGTTATTTGTTCATATTTTTGTGAGTGTAAAAGAACACTTATACTTAATAGCAGAAAGAGTTGAAATTTATAGGTTACATAACAAGGAAAGTGGGCTTGGAAAATTTGATACTCAGAGGACAGATTGAAAGCAAAGAGGGACAGAGGAAAACAATGCATAACCTACCTAGCAAGTTTTAGAAAAAATGGAAAACAAAAAGGACACTTATACTTAACATCAGGAAGAAATTGTTGAAATTTCTAGGGCACATAATGAGGAAAGTGGGCTTGGAAAATTTGATACTCACAGGATAGATTGAAGCTAAGAAAGGAAAGCAATACATAACCTACCTAGCAAAGCTTGAGTAAATGGATGGCAGAACAGTGTTTAGGAGAGATAACAAAAAGAGAAAATTTATTAAGTTCTACAAATGACAGGAATTAATGGAAAGCCATGATTGCCAACATCTTGGACAAACAGAGAAGAAGAAGAGGAAGTCAAGCTGAGAACATTTCAATGCCTCAATCTTTACAGTTAGTTTTTGGATTATAAATCAATCTGTACTGATGTAGGTTGTTAAATATAATAAACATCCAAATAAAAACAAGTTTCAATTGGTCAAATACTTGTTTCAGTATTTTGTATATATTTTAATTTTAATTTTCTTTGCATATAAAACACTTAAAGTAACACTACCAAATATACTGAAACATCTAAAACATAATAAGACTGCACACTGCACAGGAAAACAGACATTGTGGTGGTAGATAAAGAACTAAGTAAATGGATCATCATAAATATTGCATGTCCCAAAGATGATAGAGTGTTTACATTATTTACATTGTTCAGACTGTCTTCCTCATCTTTATTGCCATATTCATGACATTTCAGCTGTTGTACACTCTGGCCTTCTTAAGGTGATTGGAATTTCAAACTGAACCCCTTATTTTGTCCACGGGGATATATAGTTCTAGTTCCACGTGCCATGCCTCTTCTAGGATGTCTCAGTTATCTCCCTTTAACTCAACTCTCCAAGTTTTTGTTCACTGCAGCAGTAGCCAGATATTGAACTCACAACTCTTAGGGTCAAGTCACTGGATCCAACCAATGCTATTATCCACTGGTGCCATGTGTGAGTTCAATACCTGGTGAAGGCAGTGGAGAACTTGGAGAGGGGAATTAACAGGAGATAACTGACAGTGAGTGAAATAAAGAGTTCAGTTTGACATACCAACAACCTGAAGAAGTCTGGAGCATATAACGGCCGAAACGTTGTAATAAATATGGCGACAAAGATGGGGACAATAATCCGAATAATGTAAATAGTGTACATAGTACCTCGTCTCAGAAATATAGACATACTGAAGGATCAGATAAATATGGCAACAAAGATGAGGACAATAGTCTGAATAATGTAAATAGTGTACATAATACCTCATCTCAGAAATATAGACAGAGACTTTAAATAACCTGCTAAAGGTTGGTAAACCATAAAAAATGAATCAATCAATCTTGGGACTGCTTGTATATTCTGAAGACTTTTTGAATCATGATGAAAATATTTCACTTCAGTCCACTGATTGTGATCAATGGGTACTTTGATTCAATCCTCAGTAACAATTATTGTGTTTGCAGATCAAATAATAATAATAATAATAACAATGCCCTGATGCTCACCAGAGATGGCTCTTATGGCTTCTGATCTTAATTGACTGGAAGTGTTAACATTTACATGCTTTGTTTCTATCTCATTCAGTCGAAGAGAGTTGCCCAATGTTAATCAGTAAATTTAAGGAGCATCTTTGTTTATGATTGAGAGTAATTGGGGAGCATTATGATTGGGTGTTGAGAGGGTTGGGTTTGAAAGAAGAAACAGCTAAAATGAGTTGGAAGTTTTCCAAAATTCTGAACCATTATCCATTACACCACCTGCACCTCCAAGCTTATAGCACCTACTATTTCAAGAAGTCATCCATCTAGATACAGACCACGCTTGATGTTGCTTAACTTTAGTGGTCATATGAGAACTGGTTTGGAAGTCTTCTGAAATTACCAAAATTTTTTGAAAGAGCTGTTTGATGTCTAAGTTTGAGGTTAGAGAATGAGTGCTTATGGGTATAAAAACATTTTTTCCACTACTCCACAGAAATTCCAATGTAAACATTTTTTATTTTCCATATTTTCTTTGGAGGAGATGGCCACTTGATATATAGCCCTGGTAGCTTTGCATTTGCCCTCTATTAAGCAATTATCTTTTGATTTACAATTACAGGAAGATTCAATGCCAGGTTTGTTGTCAGTTCCATAGAAATGGGTTACCAGAAAGTTAAGGTTTAGCTTCCAATAACAATTCCTGACAATAAATCCCTGCTACATTCCACCTTCTCATGAACTTCAATCCACACCAGGGTTGAAAAGACAGACAACCACTTTTGTCGTCTGCCAAAATAGACTATTCTGCATATGAAGTAAAGGGATTTGTTTGATTATTAATTATATTGTTCTCTATAAACAAATTAAATCAAGCTCTTTTTTGTGGATCAGTCCTAATATTTTTATATTACTAGGATTCACTTGGATTATATACCAATGGATTTTTTTACCTTACTACATATATATATATAGTAAAAATGTGCAGTATACAGGTTATGGAAGACCATTCCTAGAGCAGGTGAGCACTACCACCAATATCCCACCCAACCCAAATGGAGGAAGCCTGATTGAGGACCCCTGACAGTGTCTTGCAACCCTCACTATCTAGATTTAGGGAGCCACGTATCACAGATTCGATGAGAGCCCACAACATCTTTACACCGCCCATGGTCATCTCCATTGTTGTTGGGGCTCTGGGTGCCATAAGCAGTAAAATCCCAAAGTTGCTAGAGAGGAATTGATCCAATGTCAAGATAAGGCACTTGCAGAAGACAGTACTCTATGGGACTGCTTTTATACTCTGAAGAGTTCTGGAGTTATGATGAAAATGTGACACCTCAGTCCATTGGTATTGAACAGTTGGTACTTTGGTTCCATCTCTAACAACATTTGCTGCTTGCCAATCAAATAATAATAATAATAATAATAATGTGCCAAGCTCCAAGTAATAATAATACAAAAATAATAAAAATAACTAAATACTACTAATAATAATAACAGTAAAAATTTGCAAGACTTTGGACTTCTAAGGCTTACAACCATATCATATTGAAAAACCAGTTCTCATATGATCACTAAAGTTAAGCAACATCAAGCCTGGTCTGTATCTAGATGGATGACTTCTTGGGAATACCAGGTGCTGTAAGCTTGGATGTGTGGGTGGCGTAATGGATAATGGTTCAAAATTGGAAATCGAAGAGTTGAGTTCCAATTGAAGTTGTGTTCATTATATTCACTTACATACAAATACCATTGGGAAGGGTATGAATCTACCACTTCTGATTGTAAGCAGTAGGTACTGTGGTTCCAACACCAGTAACAATTGCTATGTTTCCAGATCAAATATTATTATTAATAATAATAATAATAATAATGAAACAAAGTCAAATAAAAAGAAAGCAAAATCAAATGCAACGGACCAGATACAGAAATGAAGGCACGATAAACAACTTCACTGTCAATACTCTCTCTGTATCAAACAAGCTGATGTAGAGAAACCCCATACCCATCAGTAGTGCAAGATTAAAAGCTGAAACTGAAGGTTTTATTCTTGCTGCACAGGACCATTGATTGCTAACTAGAAATTACATAGCACACATACTGAAAAATTGTGTTAGTCCAAAATGCAGATTCTGTGATAAATATCCAAAACCAATTGATCATCTTTTATCAGGTTGCGTGTTATTGGCACCCACTGAATATAAAATATGGCACAACAGAATGGGCCAATATATGCACTAGAAAATCTGCAACACTTACGGAAAGGAAACTGCAAGTAATTGGTATGAACACCACCCAGACCCAGTTATAGAGATAGGACGTGTAAAAATTTTTATTGAACTTTACAATACACGCAGACAGAACACTCAAAGCTAATCGCCATGACATTGCAATTAGAGAGCGCAAAGACAATATGTGAATCCTTATTAACATGGCAGACTCCCTACAAACTCCAATGCATCTTTGAAGATCATCAAAAATCTATCAAAATACAAGGACATTGAAATCGAAATTTCAAAAATGTGGCACATGAGGCCGTTAACAATTCCAGTTGTAGATGGAGCCCTCGTATCAATTGGAAAAGATTCCAATAGACTCATTGAAGGAATCCCTGGTAGCCCATGCCTTAAAGAAATACAAAAAATTGTACTCACAAGTAGATCCCACACCTGACAAAGGGCTTTTTATATGTAAAATATGTGTGATTTTTTTTTTTCAAAACTGCTCAGTGAAAAATGTCATGAAGTCATTTATGATATTAGGTCTCTGGTTGGGACCCAGAAAGAAATGAGTATACAAAAGAAATCAAAGGAAATAATAATAATAATAATAATAATAATAATAATGTCTCAATATGCAATTGATAATAATACAATAATAATAATAGTAACTACAAATAGTACCAGACTAAATATAGAAAGAATTTTGTGTGTGTGTGTGTGTGTGTACTGGCAGTAGTAGTAATAGTAGTACATTTTAATGTCATGTCCCTTCAGAGCAGAGGGGATAATGGCTCACCACTGCTTCCTCTTATTTAATATTTGCAAATTGCCATGCCTACTTCTTGGTAAGTAAGGTGGAGTAGTTTTTTTGTTGGCTTCTCTACAGTTTTGAATTCTGACCTTTTCTTCTTCTAGGCTAGATACCCTAACAAGGCAAAAGAGCCTAGTTTGTTCTATTATCTTACTCATATGGGTTGGAGAGGTAGATTCATGCCTTTAACAGGGAGAGATGTCCAAAGTGAATTTGAATCGCTCATTGATTCCCTTTTCTGGACTGCAATTTTACCAACCACATATCAAGCGTGCAGCAAATCTGAAGTATAGTAAAAAAGAAGTTAAAGAAACACATCTGTAAACAGTTTAGATAAAAAAATAAAATAAGACTGTGATTAAAGATTAACACTTGCTTTTCTTCCATCAATGACCTGCAAACTGAAAGTTGTATTCATGACTTGACATTATGATAACATTAATAATTGACTAAGGCAGGAGGTAATGAAGACATGGCTTCTGTTAAAGATGATTGACCTGATATTGGATAAGATAAACTGCTGGAGAACCAGGTTATTATTCTGCTACAAGAAGCTGTGTGGGTGTTACTACTGGATCCAATTTCTTAGCAGTTTGTTCGTTAGTACAAATTGCCACTAACCTGGATGTTCTTAAACCCAAAATTTTTATTGTGTGTAAGATCTTTTCGTATCAAATTTTATTTTTAGAAGACAATCATATTTGAATAAGTGCTTCGTTTATTTATTAAACAGTATATTCATTTATTTTCACCTACTGGCCTGAATATTTGAGAAATCTTATTAAAATAAAATTTATTCCCTTCGGCAAGAAATTGACCGGAATCCTACAGGGTAGAGCCCCATGTGCCTTAACACTTGGCCATGAAGAACAGACAGTCAGGCAGAATCAATTTCATGATTTCAAGTAAAATTTCTTCCATCATAGATCTCTCAAAGTTTTTCATATCTGCACATATTTTTGTATCCAAACGTAGACAAAGAAAATTTTTAGAATGGATTTTTATTAATCCGACAGATTTGTATCACTTTAAACATTATTTTTAGTTGATACTCATAGTTGAGTAGGTGTTCTGTATATTTATCTATTTTTATCTACAGGCCTGAATATTCAAGAAATCTTATTAATGTATTGCTCAGTTGTAGTTAATTCCAAAAGGTGCAAATTTTTCTTTAGTAATATTTCTTGAATATTCAGACCAGTAGGTGAAAATAAAAATGTATACAATTTTATAAATAAATGGAATACCTATTTAAATGCAAGTCTTCACCAAAAATAATGTTTAAAGGGATTCAAATCTGATGGTAATAAAAATTCATTCTAAACACATATGATCTTCAATACTGAAACTGTAATTTTAAATGTATTCAGTATTTCACTACACTTTTTTCACCAAGGAAGAATCCTACACACTAGTCACATCGCCATGACATAAAGTGTAAAACTAAGCTGAGACTGGGCAAGGGGTTATTTTTTTTGAAAACTGTTGAGATGTTGAGTGTTTCCGCATGCGTGTATTGAAATAAAGACAAACACATACGTAGGGAAAAATACTGGTATATCTGAAGAGGTATTTACAACAGAGAAATTAGTAGTCAAACGAACGCAGGTTAGTCAGTAATAATCAGAAAGAGTATAAAGTCCAACTGTATCTTCTGGTAGAGAGACGGAAGTGTGATGGTCACCTGATCTCCCAGAACTCTCTAGAACTGTCCTATTAGTAGTAGAGAGATCAGTCCATTCTGATGAGAAGGTGGGTGGCCCCAACAAAAACTATGTCTCTTAAGGATATAAGTGGTCATGACTCTCCACACATTTATTTTTTTTTATTATCTGTGAATTGCCATATCTTCTTAGGAAAGACAATAGAATAGTTTCTCATTGCCTTTTGAAAGGTTTCAAATTCAGAGTAGTCTTTCTCTCTTTAGAATATAGGCAGTTGTGGCTCTCCACAAGTTCCTTTTCTTTATTATCTGTGAATTGCCATTCATTCTTGAAAAAGATATTAGAGAGGTTTTCTGTTGCTTCCTTCACTGTTTGGAATTCAGAGTTTTCCTTCTCTTGCTACTCAAGGCTAGAGAGATCAGCCTGCCCTTCCATTTAACCCACAGCTGGGAGAAGAAGAGAAGGATCAATGTCTTTCCCAAGGGCATTAAAGTGAAAGTGAAAGTGAAAGTAAAAGCAATAGATCAGATAGGAATTTGAACTCAGTTCATTGATTCCACTTTCCATGCCATATCAATTTCCTGAAGTCAGTATCCAGGGAAGTTTGTACAAAGCGTTTTGCTTTTGCATAATTAATGGCTGTCTGAATTTCTGGAGTTATCATTATTCACATCATTGCCTTCATATTTGTTGTTATTAACACAATGTTTCGACCATCGTGCTCACTAACTTTCTTCAGGTGGACGTTGATTGAGGTAACCTAACCTTCAGGGAATTTTAAACTAAGCCCTTTATTTAATCTACTGGCCAAGCAGTACATACTTGTACTCAGTGGAATGGCAATAACTGAGCTGTACTAAATGGCCATTTGGTAATTATGCTTGCTTTCCAACCATGATACCGAGGTTTGATTCTCACCATGGTCAATTAATCAGGAAGGTGACTTCTTGATGTTATCAGCCTCGGGGGGGAGGGCAATCACAGCATGCAGCACCTTTGGAAAGTGTTTGAAAACCATACTATACGTTGTCCCAAGCCTTGTGAGAGAAATTGGATTGAGAGAACTATTTGGGAGCCATCAATGGTTGTGCTAGCAGAAAGTCACAAGTCATCATGACTGAGTGAATCGGCCTTGTTCAGACTGTTGATCATTCCAGGTAATGCGCTCCCTCCCAGAAAGAGTAACTAAGGTCCACTCAACAGTTGCAGTATAAACAACAGGTGGGCACTGTGGGTGTTGAACAAACACAAATGTGCCTAAGCAGCTGTCTGCAACAGGGATTGGCTAGCTGCCCTAGTAGATAGGCATACTCAGATATGAACAGAAAACCACGATTAAACAAGATATTCCTAGACATGAGCAGTAGAACAAGAATAATCTGCCCCTATAGATTAAATAAAGGGTTCAGTTACAAATTTCATGAAGGTTGAGAGGCACTTACAGAAAGACAAACAATAGTCCGCACATAAATAACGTAAATAATCATAAACGGCTTTGTAAAATTTGTGTAACTATTGCTACAGAAAGGCCAAGAGAATTGGGAATTTTTTTGAGAAATGCATTGACATACTTCAATCGACTAAGATAGATCAACAGATACATAGATATGAAATAAAATGAGATAGATAGATAGATATGAACAGACTGAGATAGATATGAAAAGAATGAGATAGATAAATAGATAGAATTTTTAAAATTATTTCACCCCAAACAAAGCAATAAAGCCACTAAGACAACAAAAGGTTACCAAGTGTGAATGAATATCAGAAAAGGAAAACCATTATTAAGGAGCAAGAACAATAAAAGAACAGGAATTAAGATAAAACGATGAGATATTGCTGCCAATCTAGTACTACACTTAAATTTTTAAAAATTGTAGAATTTAGTTGGAGAAAAAGACATTTCTTGACTGTATTGGAAGTTGTGTCTGCTCTGAATACTTGTCTGG